ACATGGTCAAGACAATCTCCTGCAGTTCAAACCGAGCATCAGTATGGGGAAGAAAGTTGATTTGAGTGACTTTGAACGTGGCATGATTGTTGGTGCCAGAAGGGCTGGTCTGAGTATTTCAGAAACTGCTAATCTACTGGGATTTTCACGCACAACCATCTCTAGGGTTTACAGAGAATGGTCCGAAAAAGAAAAAACATCCAGTGAGCGGCAGTTCTGTGGGCGGAAATGCCTTGTTGATGCCAGAGGTCAGAGGAGAATGGCCAGACTGGTTCGAGCTGATAGAAGGGCAACAGTGACTGAAATAACCACTCGTTACAACCGAGGTATGCAGCAAAGCATTTGTGAAGCCACAACACGCACAACCTTGAGGCGGATGGGCTACAACAGCAGAAGACTCCACCGGGTACCACTCATCTCCACTACAAATAGGAAAAAGAGGCTACAATTTGCAAGAGCTCACCAAAATTGAACAGTTGAAGACTGGAAAAATGTTGCCTGGTCTGATGAGTCTCGATTTCTGTTGAGACATTCAGATGTTAGAGTCAGAATTTGGCGTAAACAGAATGAGAACATGGAACCATCATGCCTTGTTACCACTGTGCAGGCTGGTGGTGGTGGTGTAATGGTGTGGGGGATGTTTTCCTGGCACACTTTAGGCCCCTTAGTGCCAATTGGGCATCGTTTAAATGCCACAGCCTACCTGAGCATTGTTTCTGACCATGTCCATCCCTTTATGGCCACCATGTACCCATCCTCTGATGGCTACTTCCACCATGTCACAAAGCTCTAATCATTTCAAATTGGTTTCTTGAACATGACAATGAGTTCACTGTACTAAAATGGCCTCCACAGTCACCAGATCTCAACCCAATAGAGCATCTTTGGGATGTGGTGGAACGGGAGATTCGCATCATGGATGTGCAGCCGACAAATCTGCGGCAACTGTGTGATGCCATCATGTCAATATGGACCAAACTCCCTGAGGAATGCTTCCAGCACCTTGTTGAATCCATGCCACGAAGAATTGAGGCAGTTCTGAAGGCAAAAGGGGGTCCAACCCGTTACTAGCATGGGGTACCTAATAAAGTGGCCGGTGAGTGTATATATATACTCAGTACCGGTCAAAAGTTTGGAAACATTACTATTTTTTTATGTTTTTGAAAGAAGTTTCTTATGCTCACCATTGCTGCATTTATTTGATTGAAAATACAGGGGAAAAAACATTTCTATTTTATATAAATGCTGTTCTTTTTAATTTGTTATTCATCAATGAATCCTGACAAAAAGTATCACAGGTTATTAAAAAAAAATACTGCACAACTGTTTCCAATATTGATGATAAAAAATAGCATATCAGAATGATCTAAAATATATTCAAATAGAAAACCATTATTTTAAATTCTAATCATATTTTATTTCACAATATTACTGTGTTTTTTTTTATTTTTTTATTTTTAGACTTAGATTTTTGTCTGACTACTAATAAAACTGGTGAAAATAAACCCATAGACTTACATTGAAGGAGGAACCTAAGCCATATCCAGGGGGCAGAATATCAGAGACTTGGTGGTGGGCTCTTTTAAATACTTAAAAATACCCCAAATGCCCTAGCAACCACTCAGAGCACCTTGGCAACTGTGTAGTAATGCCCTGGCAGCTATTCAAAACACTATCGCATTGTGGAGCCTGGGTTTGTACTTCTTACATATTTATTCATACAATACAAACACTTTTTCTATCTCAGTGTTACTCCAGAAAAGGCATTTGGTGACCATTGGACATAAGACAGCATCATCTGGTCTCTTTGAGTCTAAGGTTGTTGGATTGTTGGTCTGGCTCTAAGTCAGTGTTGTGTAACATTGAGACTTATTGCCCATGTTGAACCAGCGTCGTATGGCCGTTGTTGCTTTGTGAGCGGAGCCCCTGGTGGGCTTGTTTGTCGTCAGGCTGGGCGGCAGCGCTGATGTGCTGGACTCATTACTTTTGACCACCTGTTTGTCCTGGGGCAACGAGTGAGTGAAAAATAAAGAGAAATGAGGGAGGGGGAGCTGGGTGAAAATGAAAAAGGGAACAGGACGGATCCTTGTGGGACACTTCTCGGTTTTTGCCACGAAGTCACACCGTATGTATAAACACAACTGTGCATGTGTGTGATCACAGCCATGTGTCGGTGGAAACAATGCTGGTAGCGGGAGGTTGAATGAGTGTCTTTGTTGTGGAGCTGTGTGTCGCAGGGACAGGTGGATGGCCACCCCCTTCAGACCCCGCCGCTCACACATTAATGACATTTAACCACGGCCATACAGCGCGCACACACACACAGCGGGAACCCTGCATGTTTCTCCACCCCTCTAACTAAACACACACTGTGTGCCCACTCATCCATCTTAAAACTGTCTCTCACTTCATCCTACCCTTTGACCCCATCACGAATGTCAGAATAAAGAAAACACAAGGACTAACCGTCGAAAAGCTTGATGCTGTGCCCAAATTCTGAACAGCAACCGGCACAGTCTTATTCGTCAAACAAATTTTGTTTTGGTTTAGAAATAATGTATGAAGTTGAGGCTTTGGTTTGGTCCTTCCTCTGCACCACACCTGACCACACAAAACCATCCATTCTTTTCAGTCAGATATGCTGCTAAGCAAAATGGAAAGAAAAAATGCTATTCGTCCCAAAATCCTCAATGATTTCACACTGTTTGTGTGTGTTAATAGGATGCAGGTGCACCCTAAAAAAATCCCCTCAGTGACAAGGGAGGACATCACAGACTCCAGCGCTGGCAATGAAAGCAAATCCCTGAAAATACATCAATAGATAAAAGAGATATTACAGGCACAGGCACAAATCACAGAGCTGTGGCCCGGTCATCACAGCGACGCTATCCCAGCATGCCAAGTGGGCAGCAGAAGGCTGTGTGAGTGCAGTGGAGAGGGGCATTGTGGGTCAGCAGGCAAAGCAAAGCAAAGCTTGAGTCTGTTGTAGTGGGCATGTGTGAGTGTGTATCTGGTTAGCACTCATCTCTGAGGTATTACGGGTGTGTTTGATTGTCTAGGTGTGTGTGTGAGAGAGAGCAAATGTTTGCCAGAGACACGCTGCTTGTTGGGTTTTGAGAAATGAAACATTTGTTTTTTAATGGTCTCTGAGTTGAGACTCACTCTGGAGGCAAACTCGACACGATCACTTTTATTTGTGTATACAGTATGTGTGTCTTCATTTGTGAAAACAATTTATAATTGAACTAAGTATTTATTTAATGTTTCAAAGAATGTTTTTATATTTTAATGTTTTATTTTATATATTATTATTATTTTAAACAACATTTTAAAAAATGTGTTGTTTTAATTTTTTTTTTTTTTTGTCATAGTAGTAGTATATTATTATTATTGTGCAAGTGCAGGGTTAGCATTTTGGTATGTCACCATTCAGTTCAGATTTCCCGCCACTCGTTTCTATGGTTACTGTCATTAGTTAGTTGGGTTCAGCTGTGTCTAGTTTATCTCCTTGTTTAGTATGTAACCTGAGTTCCCTGTCCCGTCACCGTTATGCCTACATGTGTGTATATTTGCCCTTGCCTGTTTGGATCACTACCTGTTGTTGGATTATATTAAGTAAACTTTGTGTCTGAATCTTCATCTTCTGTACGCTTCCTGACTGCACACACCCATAACAGTATGGGTATGAGTTAGTCTATAGTATTTATAATTGGTTCTATTTAAAGACAGAAGTCTATAAATATCCTAATTTAGATTTATGTTATGAAATGTATCAATTATAAGCAGTTTACACAATGTTACACTGAACATTATGTATTATGTATATCTTAAAGTACACATTTCCTCCTGTATGTTTGAGCAGGTGTGTGTGTTCTTGTTTAACCTACATTGAGAGGCCAAATGCCCCCACAAAGATAGTAAAATGTGAAAATTTGGACACAATTTCAATGAAAACTGCTTATAAATCATACCAAGTGATGATTTTTGAAAAAGGTTTTCTGTGATGGGTAGGTTCAGGGCTAGGGTTAGTGTAAGGGGTTAGAATTTTGTACAGTATAAAAACCATTACGTCTTTGTAAAGTCTACGTAAAGATATAAAAAACTCATTTGTGTGTGTGTTCATGTTCATATACCTAGTTGAACAGATGCACTGGGCGACACAGAAGAGCAGTGTGTCGATGGTATTCCTCTTAGTGGCAGTAGCACAGCTGTTTGTGTCCTGTTTCCTCTGTTCTCTCCGTTTCTGTTAGCACACACACACACACACACACACACACACAGTACAGGTTTTACCAACGAACGCAATCGTGTTTGTCTTTGACTTGTGCATTTCAAAGGAAACACATGTATACGTTAACATCCAGACGTTCTTGTCCACATACACAACTGTCACCAACATGAAAACTGGCCATTTGGTTTTCATAGACATCACAAATGCGATCTCACTTTCATCTCGCAGGGAGATGAAATGGAGATGAAATAGAAACCCTGAGGCAGTACTGAACTAATATCTTAATTTTAAGTCTTCTGCTTCTTAGAAGAAATAGACCTTGTGGTTAAAATGTTCTCACATTTGCCATGATTGCAAAATTTGCATTCAAACATTGTTAATCTCGTTAAATGTCTCTGAAATATTTCTCATTTTCTTCCAGAACTATATTATCTGGGTAACATAATTTAACTTGCCTATTTTTTATTGCTCCTAAAGACTTATAGAAGAAACATCTGAGAGATGTTAATACAAGAGCAATATCTGAGCAACCAAACGTTCCTCTGGGAGTAAATGTGGTGATGATTAATCTGGATTCTTCTCTTTCCTGCCTCGCGTTTCCCTCCTCTTCCATGTCCATCATAGTCTCAAAATAAAATGGGTCGAGAATTGATGACTTCAAATGTTACCTCAATATCATATATCCATCGGATGGACTGATAGAGCTTGTATTGAATGAATGTCCTCCGTTTGTTCTTTCTTTCAAAACCTTATTTTCTTTGTTGTTTAGGTCACACGGGTGCCGATCGAGTCGTGTGAGCAGTACGGCACATGCGGAGAGTGTTTGAGCTCAGGAGATCCTCACTGTGGCTGGTGTGTGCTGCATAACATGTAAGTTCCCTCTTTATATTTACACACAGTTCGTGGTAAAGCGATGCGTTTTGTGTATTTGAAGACTAAAATCTCCATAACTCTTGAAATATATTCTGAAAAGTCTAGGAAAGATCACAGGGATCATTCTCATATGGCACAGAGGTTGTTTGCCCTCTGGTGGTGGACTAGTGCAACTGCATCCAGATGTGTATATCTCTCAATGCAGAATCCTCAGATGCTTTTGTGCTTTAAAATATTGTATTGAATGTTGCTAGAACAGCACAGAGTTTGTCATTTTTTAGTGGTTTTGTGCTGTTGTGTAAACCCTACGCTGCCATCATTACTGTAATGGCGGGCGTACCTCCCTTGGGAAAGTGCACTTAAAGTAATTTACATGACTCCCGACAGGACAGGGACAAATAATTGGCGAAGCGAGCGGTATTTGTGCCTCTTCGTTCAGCATGGGGCTGTATTTTTTTTCGGCGCAGCGTGCCGTCAGCACGGCAGGATTACATTCCTCCATCAGTCCTCTGGGGCTTTCTGCTGTATTAAAGCTCATGTCATACAGACACCATTCGAATCTCAAACATACCGTGCTGTGTTGTGCAGACAAGCTTATGTATTTATTAATTCACCTGCAAAAACTACTGAAAGTATCATGCTACTACTGTACCTTGGCATTATTTGAAATTAACTCGTTTTAAAGGTGTCATGACCTGGATTTTTAAATTATTTTCATATGTTCTTTGAGGTTCACTTATTGTAAATTCCGTTTTTTGCTTAAAAAACAATTATAAATGTGAAAAAAAAAAAAAAACTCTGTCTGAAATTATCCGTTTTTAAGGGGCGGCTCCTTTAAGGCCTCCTTTAAGGAGACAGTATCAATGCCCACTCGATCAATGACTCCTTTAAAAATAAACAATCCACTTGTTCCTGATGCTCGTATCCTTCTGAAGTCTCTAGAGAAATTAGCAAATGAGCTGTTTAAACGGGACGCACCAAAGCGAACGTTCTTTTCAGTCTTCTATTTGTCCGGTTATCGACAGAATCAAACATCTATGTACTGTATCCAGTGTAGACAGCGTCAGTGATTATAATGAGTTCTGTTTGCTTTTGCCTCACATCTGGTGGGCGATGATGTAAAACTATTCGTCGATGTCTTGCTCTGGAGGCAGGCATATCCAAATGCATTTGCCCGTGTGACGTCACAAAGACCTCTTATATGTCAAAACATTTGCAAATTTAATTGTCATCAACCTTTAAAATATCCCATGTCATGACCCCTTTAAAATATTCGATATTATTTTTTAAGCATTTTTAAGTTAATGCTTAAATTATTTAATATTTATTTTAAAATATTAATTATTTTTATTTTTTGTAGCATATTATTTTTTTACATATTTTAAAATAAATATTATAAAAATAGTACTATATTTAAATATAGTATTGTATATTTATTTATACTTTATATATATATATTAAATTATAAATAAATATTAAATTATAAATAAATATTAAATAGGATATTTTTATTGCTTTTTTATTTTTTTTATTTTTTTGAGAAACAAATTTGGTGTATCGGCATGTTAATCATTCAGTACCATGGTATATTTCAGATTCTCTCGTTTTCTCTCTCCTCTCTCTGCTAATATTCCCCTACAGCGAGTGCTTTTTCACAGTCAGTGTTCTCTTAATGAAATTAACATCTCTCTCTCCTGCTCGCTATAATTCCAGCTCCACACACATATTTGTTCATTTCTCACTCCTCACGGCCCCTATGGAGTCCGTCCTTCCGTTTCTGATAGAGCGGCAGACAGAGAGAGAGAGAGAGAGAGAGAGAGAGAGAGAGAGAGAGAGAGAGAGAGAGAGAGAGAGATTGCTGACACCTTCTACCATGCTTTCATTAGTCTTCTAGCCTCTCTTCCACTGCACTGGTTTTCTCCTCCTTAGCACATACTTTATAATAAAGGTTTTCAAATTGTTATCTGCAGCGCAGGTTCATCATTAGATACCCTTTTAAATCAAGAAGCATTTTTGTGTTTGTGTGTGTGTGTGTGTGGGGTGGGTGGGTGGGGGGGGGGGGGGGGATTCTTGAAGGTGCTATATGGGTCTTTGGAGATTAGATAAGAAATCTTGATGGGACATTTAAGTTTCTACGGATCAACACATTGGCTTCGGGGTTTATTGACGCACCAGAGCAGATTATTGTAACGTAAAATAACGGTTTACTATTTGAATATATTTGAGTATATCTTATATAAAATGTCATTTAATCCTGTGATGGCAAAGCTGAATTTTCAGCATTATAACTCTTAAAGGTACAATATGTAAGAATTTTGTTATAAAATATCCAAAAATCACTTGCACATTGTGATATATTTCCTGCAGTTGTGTACTTACAATATCCCAAAAGTCTCCAAAGATTTTTTATTTCAGAGAAATTCCCATTTTAAATGAGTGGCTGTCCCGGAAAAAAATGTCGCCTGTCAATGACGCAATATCCGCTCTATCCTCGGTTTCCGCTCATACTGTCATAGCCATGACGTAACCATGGCGACAGACGTAGACAACTGCGTAGTGCGTAACGTTTAGCGGCACGCAGTTCTTGTTTCTTTCAAACATAGACCATGGCAAGCAGACTTTGAGACAAACAAGGAGAGCTAAAATGAGGATCAATATCAGCGTGGCGTTTTAGAGATGCCGAGAGCTAGCGTCCGCGACTAACTTGGACTTGACAGAGCTTCACGAGTCACGACTTGACAGCTTTATTAGACAGGTGAGCAAATGTACATAAACAAATCAATGTTATATAACGTTAGCTCAACATGATGAAATGTTAAAATATGGTCAGTATGTTATTCTAATGTTGATCTAGCTTAACGTTACTGCTAGTTTCCTATAGCAAACGAACTAACACGTAGTATAACATTATCACTTTCAACACACATTTAAATGCCGTTTAGTGTGATAGTGTAACGTTAGACCAAGTGAAGCAGCGCTGCGTTACCTCACAAGTTTAATTCGTATAATAAACTGACCTGTGTGAGTAATCCAGCACTTGCGGGTTCGGTAGAATTAAATGTCCTTATTCCTTTACATCCGCGGGACTCGCGTGTGATATCTTTCTCTTTAGCAATCGCGCCCTGCTTCATACCACTGTAATGTTAAAAAACATGAATGTTTGCACTCATCCATAAACATTATTAGATCCATCAGCTTGACAGCAAGTCCCATCATTCAGCTCATCACTGCGTCATCAACCTACGCCTGTGTTATTGTTGGAAACTGCGCCCTCTTGTGGCGAAAAAATCTTACATATTGTGCCTTTAAGTGTCACGTGATCCTTCAGAAATCATTCTAATATGCACGTTTACTGCTCAAGAAGCATTTCTTATTATTATCAATGTTGAAAACAGTTGTGCTGCTTAATAGTCTTTGTGGAAACCTTTATACGTTTTTATTTTGTTTTTTTTAGGATTCTTTGATGAATAGAAAGTTCAAAAGAGCAGTATTTTTTTTTAAGAATATTCTGTGACATTATCAATGTCTGTACGGTCACTTTTGATCAGTTTAATGCATCCTTGCTGAAAAAATATCCATCCCTTAAATTAAAATTGGACTGACCCCAAGCTTTTGAATGGTTGTTTGTTTGTTTATTGTGCTGCTTGTACGCTCAATCTTGTTTCAAGAATGTTTCATTTTTTACTGTAAAAAAGTCTATTTTTGTAGAGTAGCATTATTCTGCTCCTAGTAGGAGAGATGGTCTGTATTCATACCTCAGTTCAGAATAGTGCAATTTGCCAAAGTCCCTCTAATTATCAGCAGCTGCTGTGCGCCATGTGATTGAAAAGAGAAAAAAATGAAAGTTTTTGAGCATATGAGGAATCACTAATTCTGCTGGTGTTTAGACTATGAAGGCAAACAGCATCTGTCTGGTATCGGTCTCTCCGGCAATGGTATTAGACCCAGAGACGTCTCTCATGGCCCAGTTAGACTGCGTACAGGACCCTGAAACTGGGAGGGGACCAAAAAAAAAAAGGAGGAGCGAGAGTCAGATTTAGGAGGACTAATCTCCTTGGCCCATGGAGAACACTAATCCTGGAGATGATCTGATTGGCTGAACTCCTTTGAGGTCAAAGGCTGTTTTAATATCAGTGATCCAACAGTTGCTCAGCGGAGATCATTCCTACGGATCCATAATCGCTTTTAGGATTTAACTCATTATAGGGAGAAAGAGGGAGCTGGGGAATCCAAGCACTGATCAATGTTTAAGGGCAGAATGTAAGCGTATTTAACATTATGCAATAGATGAGTGTCTGCAGTGTGTGTGTGTGTGTGTGAGCTCTCGGCTTGGGTCTGGTTTGCATGGCTGTGGCTGGCGTTCCAGGAGAGAGACGATCTTCACAGCAGGGGTCAGCGTTTGATCCGTGCTGGGGAAACATTCTCTCTCTCTCTCTCTCTGATGTACACGCACGGCCATCCTTGATATGCTGGACTAGCATACTACTCATTCTATTTCTGCTGTATGTACTGTATACTGTGCACAGTATGTCCATTTTCTGTATGCATTGAAAGCACAATGTGTGAGATGTTGTATCCCACGATGCAGTGCATGTGACTTGACCTTCCATGTGACGAATGAACCTGAAGAAATGTCTGGAAAAGTCATGGAAATTAATCAAATTAAAAAAGAAAAGTAAAAAAAAAAAAAAATAGATATGTATTTAATTGGTTAGAAATTCCTCTTGTATAATTATGAAAATAATTTTAATGAAATGTAATAATTAATGTATTAACTTATAATTGAATGTATACATTATTTCTTAAAAATAAAAATGGTAAATAAAAAAAATAAAAAAAGTATTATTATTGCGATGCAAAAATTGTGCCAGTCATGCAACAAACATGGTGAGGTCATGTAGCATACTAGTGCATGTTTATCATGCAGCATTTATCATTGCATATTTTTTCACCTACTACATATGTAGTATGCAGTACTCCAGTATAGCATTCAAAAT